CCCGAAGCACCAAAGGGAGAGAGAGAGAGAGAGAAAAAAGAACATCCACTTCCACTTACTCCACACTCACAAAACACGAGCACACGCATGCACGGACAAGCACACACCCGAAGCACCAAAGGGAGAGAGAGAGAGAGAAAAAAAAATTAAGTAACCCTAAAGAATAGGCCGTGGTACACAACCATCTTCTTCGGGGAAGAATTTACCAGATTGTCCGAAGCAATTTCACAAAAATAAAAAACATACCGTTCAAAAATTGCCACTCAGCGAAGATATCACAAGATTACGCACAACCCAGACCACAACATTCACCACTGATTAGGGTTTCACCAAATGATTAGGGTTTCCAACACCGACTAGGGTTTCGCCACCATACAATGATTAGACGTCGATAAAATCTGGTTAAGACCCTAATACAGTATCACAACAGCAAAATCTCAGTACGGTCCTCGCCATCACAGCTCCAACTCTCATTAACAGCCTCTTCATGCTCCAACTCTCATCAACAGCCTCTCCATGAACGCTTCCTCAACCCATAAACTGATCGTACATCTTCCCTGTATCCACTGATCGTACGTCTTCCATCCATTCACTCATTGCGATCATCTCCACCACCATAGTTCCGCTGGGCAAGCAGGAGAACGACCCATGGACCTCTGCCTCGGCAATCGCTTTAACGCTTCTTGGACACACCGACAGTCCTTCCGCGGCGACCGGTCGTCTTCGTATGCTGTCCGCGAACRCGGAGACCCCAGTAGTGACGAAGACCGCGATGGTTCCTGATCTTCTTGAGTCGTTCCAAGTCATCACGCAGCTTCATGTCCAAAGCATTGGCCACTACCTGCGAGTACCTCCCGTCCTTGTAATCCTTCTTGCGATTCAGAAACCAGTCCGGGATCTTGAACTGCCTTGGGTTGGCCACGATCACCATAAGATTCTCCAGCTCCGCAGCAGTCARTTCGCCCGCTCTCTTACTCATGTCYACGTCGGCCTTCTTGCACACAAGATTGGCAAACCGCCGCCCCACACCCTTGATCGACGTCAAGGCGTACATGATCTTCTGCCTGCCATCGACGTTAGTATTCAGCACACGAAGAATGTGCTGAAAATCTTCGTTCGCGATCAGCGACATGGCTGACACCTGGCTTTGGCGTCGCTAACAGCAGGGATGGCGATTGCAACAGGAATGGCGATGGCCGCGCCCGACTGCTTAGAGGACGCCGTCGCGAGGAAAGAACCAGTAAAGTGTCCAGTTCCAATTTTACACGGCCTGCGAATTGAGACTCAAGCCCCATCCGACGCAGTACGGAAAATTTGAGGTTCAAGCCACTTGCGCGAAATGAATCCGCCCGACATAGCGGTTGTATTCGTTCGCGATTTTCTTTCTTTTCTTGCGCCAGTTCCTCCCCAGGCTCGGCCCGTCGGTGAGGCTGTGACTGCGCGAGGGTCCTCAACCTCGGCTGCACGAATTTTTTCTTTTCCTTCCAAATTCAATTTTAATTTCAGAAAATCAGATGGAGGCCAGGGTCCCAATTGTCTACCGCGTGGGCGCGGGGAACGCAGCCCTAAGCTAGCCAAATCAATGAGACTAAGAGCTAACACGAGAACGAGAGAGAGAGAGAGAGAGAGTTTTGTTCCATTTATTCCTACGAGTGTGAGAGAGAGAAAGAAATAGAGAGAGAGGGAGGGGGGGGGGCTACCAAAGAGAGAGAGAAAAAAAAAAAGATAAACACACGCAAATGTAGACAGAACGTGCGAGGTTTTACTTTCACAGCATACACGTAATGTCCATGGCATGCGAGACCAGTCGCGATTACCCTTCTACCTCACTGCTCAGGTAATCATTTCAGCCACTATCCTCAGTATTTATACCCTTCGTTCCCAGTCCTTCTCCACCACTTTCCCTATCCTTGCAGTGTACTCATCATCTATCCTCAGGATCTCNTCCTCAGTATTTATACCCTTCGTTCCCAGTCCTTCTCCACCACTTTCCCTATCCTTGCAGTGTACTCATCATCTATCCTCAGGATCTCCCGCAGTCGCTCTCTGTGTTGTCCTTGTCGTTGTCGATTTCCAACATGCCTTCAATCTGGAGCTACTTTCATCACATCTTATGATTCTGTTCGTTGATTGATTTTGTCACCCTTGTTTCCAGATATGTTCGCGTTGTCTTATCTGATTTCAAGTTTTAGAGATCAGTGGTAGCATGTTGAAAAGATATCAGACATTCCAACTCTTTCGTTTGATCTTCCTTACTTGCTATTATGATCATCATTACATCGTCCACAAAACTCATATCGTGGATAAGTTTCTCATCAATTCCAGTCAGCGCACACCATCTGTACTCGTCGAACGCGCATACCATGTTGGCAATGGGTGGGTTAGAGCCCTTCCCCATTGGTATCCCCGTTGCTTGGCATAATAATGTTCCTTGTACTTCGAAGTTTGAAGTATGCATGTTTGATGTCATAGTACAACAGATCCATTAGGCACTCAATTTTTAATTTTCTTCATCCGTAGATTTCATTTGCTTTTCCAAAGTTCATGTAATTTCCTCTCATCTTGTAACAGAAGTGGGTTTTCCGTTTTTCTTTTGCCGTTTTCATCATCCATTGCATGACGTTTAAGATATGTGTGTAATCGAGATTCAAAAACATATCTTTGACGTCGTATGTGGAGCAGATTATCGTAGTCATATCCCCGTATGTTTCTTTTGCTACTTGATTGCATTTCTTCAGTCTAGGTAGTAGTTGGTTCGTTCCTTTTAGTGAGAAACCAACTTTCAATGCTTGACACATGAAGTTGATAGCTCTTGATAGTACCTTCGATGCTTTCCGAGATGACTCCTTATATGTCGACACAATTGGTCAGCGTCTGGTGACGTCCTTGTTTTTTGGAATTGTATACGCATTTCCGTATGATCCCTGTTCATCCCATTCTGCGATTTTCTTCAGCCCACATCCATGATACGTATTTTTGGCCAATTGAGTGATCTCAGATTCCGTTTGTTGTATAATTTCGTAGTGGTTCGATTCCATAAAGAATTTTTAGGTTTTCTCGTACCAGATTTTACGGCATTCTACAAAAATTTCTCCAGGATTTATGTCCAATGGTGATAGGATACATTGTGTCAATCTCCTTTTTACTTCCCATACTTCTGATATGTGAAGAAAAATCTTCATATCATTATTCTTTTCGATGCAAGTAGAGACATCTATTTTAATTTCTCTTTTCTTCCTTCGTGGTCGTGGTATACTTGCAATGGTAGTGATGATTGTCCTTTTAATTTCTTCCTTTCCAATTCTTTCGTTCATATGGGGTACGTTTTTTGCATTCCACAAGAGCTGATTTTCTGTGATTTCACTTAATCTGCAGACAATGTGGTTCTCAATTTTTGAAAGTCGGGATACTGCACAATTACAGTCCGGTGCTTGTGTAAGCACCTGTCTGTGATTGTGTAATATTTCCCCGACTGTCTTTGATTTTTTAAACATCATACGCATCCGAACTGTCAAATCGTTTGCCAAATTGTTATTACTTACACTTTCCAAGATAGACTTGGTTGTTGTGTTTCTCACTTGCTTCAGATTAATGCATGCATCAAATAAAATCTTAAATATCAGCCTTCTCTTGATATTGAATGCAAACTTCTTCTTTGAAATTCGTGTGAAGATGCCTTTAATTGTTCGTTTTTGCTTCTTTCCGGTAATCGATCCCACCTTTGACAGAAGAATCAGTATATCATCTAACAATAATTTATATTGTTCCCTCCGTCTCCATGGTGCCCTCAAGCAGTTAATCATAATATTTCGATGTTTGTTTGTTTTCGGTCACGTATGCACCAGTTGGATCACATAGAAGATACATCCATTTTCGATTCGTTTTCTGCATTTTTTTAGCTGGAACTTTGTGTAGTCAATTTCCACAATTGTTGATCCGAATATTCGTTTAATTACTTTTCATTTTTCATTTCATAGTTTTCCAGTTGTGCAGTTAATCATTGCTTTCGGTTGAAGTATTGATGTTAACTTCGTAGTGTAACCCGATCGAACCGATTTAAACAAAACAGGTATATTCTGATTCACCTCATTATTTTCATTATTCTTCCTCTTTCTCCTTTTTCGTCTTCGGTTTTTCCGAGTCTTTCTGCCTTTTCCCCTTGTATTCAAGAATGGATTCAGTCTCCTAATCAGTGTTGCTTCCATCCCTATCACCTTTGATCTCACTCCCGTCCAAATGAGTATCAAAACATATTTTTCCCAACCAAATTTGTGCAGCCAAGTATATAGTTTCCGCTGTGCTCCTCTATTTGGATTCTTGGCCAAGTTTATGTGTTCAGTCCATCTCTTGTCGGGCTGTCTTTCTGTCCTTCCCACGTACATATGTCTACACCAAGGTGAAACTCTCGGTACTAACTAGTTGCTCAATTTTCGTTGATAGCCTGTGTATCTGCTCCCACTTTTGTGTCGTGCTTAGGTCGCATGATGCTGAGGTGTCTTCTACCTTCCCGACAGATCTTCGGCGCTAGAAGATGTGTCGGATGAATCATACTCATTACTCCCGCTTGATCTTGTACTAAGGCTCTCGTAATCATCCTCACTTGTGTCGCCGCCAGTTGTATTGGACACTCTGATATTATCTGGATCTGACATGATCTGTGTTACAAGATCAGAATTCCGGTTGAAGTCCCGCCCCTTGTAGGCGATCAATCCAGGAACTTGCCTCAATGCCGAGATCGCTTGCGGCTTGTCCTTGTACCTGATGTCATGCATCTTGCATAGGACCTTCAGGTACGTGTAGTGAAGACGAAGGAGCTGCATGTCTGTCATCAGTTCGACCCCGAAATTAATGTTTCGTTTTGCCTTCGACTTCGCGGCCGACACGTTGCGATTAATCTTCGTTCGTCCTCTCTTGGGGTGTGGAGGGATTACGCGTCTCAATCTGCTTTTGTTCGGTTGGCTTCTGCTTGGCATGTTTCGGCTCGGAATGTTATGGTTACCATGTAATGAAGTTGGTAGTTCAGCCATTGTCCCCACATATCCGTTCGGATGAACTGAAGACGACACGATCGGAGTGCAGGTACGAGTCGGTTCATTGATCTTCTGCAACGAGCCCTTCACAACCACCAGATCATTCTTTAGTAACTTCAGGTTGTTGACCTCCTTCTGCACTTCTGATACCATCCTTTCTACTTTATCTTCCGGCTCTGCATTCTTCTCACCGGTTGCGCTTGGACCAGCTTGATTCTGTTCCCCTTGGTTCATCTCTGTCGGCTTAAGTGCTTCATCAATGATGGACTTGAGCGCGTCCGGAGTTAGCTCAGGCTTCTTTGCAGTGTCTTCCTTATTCAGAGGAGCTGGTTGCTTTTCACTTGTTTTTCGTGTGAGTTGCTCCAGTGTCTTGAAAACTTTGTCCATCTCCCAGCGGAGCTTAAAGATTTCTTCCTTCAGATCCGCCGTAAACCACGCTCGATTTCCCGGTGGGGGAAAATCATTCCGTCTTTGCTCCCACAATGGTCTCGAGAACCACCTTGGAGATTCTGACTCCGCCCTTCTTCTCCGTGACGATGGTGATCTTGACTTATCTCTTCTATCTCTCGGAGTTTTCGATCTCCCCCTTCTTGAGCGCTTCCTTGAGATCCAGAAGATGATGATGAGTGTTAGCGCCGCCTCCTGTCTGACGATGATCGCGAACGCGACATCTTCCTTGAAGCTTGGGAACGTCAGCTAGGTAGTCTTCGTACTTGAAATCGATAAAAAAACCCACAACGTCGTTGATCGTTTTCAATACACACCAGATAAGTAAAATAGAATCTCCAAAAATCGTTGAGTAATCTCTACGTTATAGTAATCTCCAACAAATCGCTACTATGATATCATGAAAGAAAAGGGTTACGAATGATGAGAGAGAGATAAAGACAGTGAATGTAAAATGGAAGAGTGACATGTCTATACAGTGCCAATCATCGCGGGTACCGCCCGCAAGTTCTAAGCATTGTGCATAGAGATAAACACATGCAAATGTAGACAGAACTTTCGAGGTTTTACTTTCATAGCATACACATGCAAATGTAGACAGAACGTGCGAGGTTTTACTTTCACAGCATAYAMGTAATGTCCATGGCATGCGACACCAATCACGATTACCCTTCTACCTCACTGCTCAGGTAATCATTTCGGCCACTATCCTCAGTATTTATACCCTTCGTTCCCAGTCCTTCTCCACCACTTTCCCTATCCTTGCAGTGTACTCATCATCTATCCTCAGGATCTC